GAATAAACAAAAAAGGAAGGAGGTGGGGGGAGGAAAAAGGGGGGGGGGGGTTGGGAAAAAAAAAAAAAAAAAAAAAAAATCCATCACTCCTTCTTCTCCTCCTCTGTCTCATCGCGCTTCTCCTCCTTGGCCAAGCTGTCCCGCCGGAGCCGGGGCAGGCGCTTTTATTTTCCTTTTTCCACTTCATGCGGCGGTTCTGGAACCAGATCTTGATCTGCCGCTCGGTCAGGCACAGCGCGTTGGCGATCTCGATGCGGCGCCGCCGGGTCAGGTAGCGGTTGAAGTGGAATTCCTTCTCCAGCTCCAGCGTCTGGTACCGGGAATAAATCTGGCGGCCCCGCCGGCGGTCGGCCCCGTAGCCGACTCCTAAAGAAGCCGAGACAAAACAGACTAAAAATCGTCAGAACGCAGCGCCCCCTCGGCTCGCCCTGCCCCTCCCCCCCGAGCAAAAACCAATAAAAAATGAAATTAAAGCGCTCCGAGTCCCCGCGGGGTTCCATCGGCGCGGGGCTGGGGTTAAAGCCGGGCTTAGCGGGGCGGCCGGCCGCTTGGAGGGGTTTAGGCCGGGTTTTGGGGGGTTTGGGGTGGGTTTTGAGGGGATTTAGGCCGGGTTTTGAGGGGTTCGGGTGGGTTTTGTGGGAGTTTAGGCCGGGTTTTGAGGGTTTAGGGGTGGGTTTTGTGGGGGTTTAGGCCGGGTTTTGCGGGTTTAGGCCGTGTTAGGGTCAGATTTTGAGGGGTTTGGCTTTGATTCTGAGGAGTTCAGCGCGGATTTTGTGGGGGTTCGGCCCGGGTTTTGCAGGGGTTCGGCCCGGATTTGGGGGGGTTTTGCCCCGATTCCGCAGGGTTTTAGGCCGGATTTTTGAGGGGTTTGGGCAAGGATTTGTGGGTGTTCAGGCCAGATTTTGCAGGTTTTAGCGCAGATATTTTAGGGTTTTAGGCCGTATTTTGCGGGTTTAAGCACAGATTTTGTGGGGTTTCGCCCAGATTTTTCAGGGTTTACGCCCAGATTGCGCAGGATTTTAGCCCAGACTTTACAGGTTTTCGCCCGGATTTTGAGGGTTCTAGCCCAGATCTTGCTGGATTTTAGGGATTTTGCGGGGTTTAGGCCAGGATTTGAGGCTTTAAGCCCAGGCTTCGAGTGTTTAAGCCCTGATTTTGCGGGGTTTTAGCCCAGACTTGCCCTGGATTCCCTGGATTGGGGGGAGCCGGGGACGGCGAGGAAGGGGCGGCTTCCCCCCGGCCCCAGCTCGTGCTACCCCCAAACCCTAAACCCTTTAAAACCCCCTAAAAAAACCCACCAAAACCCCTAAAACTCCAACCCCACCAACTTCACTGCTCACCCTAAACCCCGCTCGCGTTCATTTTCCCCGCTAAACTCCCCGAGCAGACCCGGCCGCGCCGCTTTTATTTTTATTTCCCTATTTAATCCCTCTTTACGATCACCGATATTTCACCGGCGGGCGAAACCTTTTAATTAAAACCGATCCTAACAAGCCCAACCCGAATAAAAAGCCCGCCGCAAACTGCGCGAAATTATTGTTTTTATGGCGCCATAAAAACCCCATCCTACCGAGGTGCCGAGGAGGAGGGGGAAAGGCCATAAAACCCTCCGAGTTTATTTAATTTATCCCCCCCGACGAGCCATAAAAAACTTACCACTGTGCGAATTCATGCGCTGCATCCAGGGGTAGATCTGGATGCCGGATTTCTGCTCCTGAGCCGCGCTCCGGCTCTGCTCGCTGGGGAAATCCTGCGCGATGGAATTGGGGGTGCCGTGCCCCCCGACCGAGCTCTGCCGGCAGCTGCTCAGCACCTCCTTGTCCTGGTAGAAAGCGTTCGAGCCGTACTCGTAGGGCGAGCGGCCCGCCGAGCCGAAAACCACCGGGTTGTCCTGGGGCGAGTAAAACGGCGACGAATAAATCCGGTTCTGCGCCACGGCCGCGCCGTAGCCGCCGAAATGCCGCACGGGGTCGTAGCTGGAGTTGAGCGCGGCCACGTTGGGCAGCACCTCCTGGCCGCCGCCGAGGTGGCACGACAGCGACGGGTTCGTGAAGTACGAATTCATCTCCGCCGCCGCTCCGCCGCGGGCTCGGCGCGCTCCCGCCGCTCCCGGCGGGGGTTCTGCCCGTGGGCTCGCTGTGGATGAGCTCCTCGGGGTTTTTCTTCTTTTTTTTTTAGTGTTTTTTTCCTATTTTTTCCCTATTTTTTCTGTATTTTTTCTCTATTTTTTTCCTATTTTTTCTCTATTTTTTCTCTATTTTTTCTCTATTTTTTTTCCTAATTTTTCTCTATTTTCTCTGTATTTTTTTTCTCTATTTTTCCTCTATTTTTCCTCTATTTTTTCTTATTTTTCCTCTATTTTTCCCTATTTTTTTTTCTCTATTTTTCCTCTATTTTTCCTTTATTTTTCTCTATTTTTTCCTATTTTTCCTCTATTTTCCTCTTTTCTCCAATCATTCTCCTCTATTCTCCTCTATTTTCCTCTATTTTCCTCTATTTTTCCTCTATCCTCCTCTATTTCTCCTAATTTTTCCTCTATTTTTCCTTTTTCCCTCTATTTTCCCCTTTCTCCTCTATTTTTCCCTTTTTTTCTCTGCTCCTCTATTTATTCTCCTCGATTCCTCTACTTTCCTCTCTTATTCCTCTATTTTTCTCCTTGATTCCTCTGTTTTCCTTCTCTCACTCCCCTATTTTTCCTCTTTCTTTTCCCTCTCTAATTCCTTTATTCTGCCTCTTTATTCCGCCTCTTTCCTTCCTCTATTTCCCCTCTATTATTTAATCTATCATTTATTATTTCCTCTATTTCCCCTCTATTATTTCCTCTCTTTTTTTTTCCTCTCTATTTCCCCTTGACCTCTTTCCCCTCTATTTTCCCCTCTATTTTTCTCTCTATTTTTTTCTCTATTTTCCCCTCTATTTTCCTCTATTCTTTCCTCTATTTTCTCTCTATTTTTTCCTCTATTCTTTCCTCTATTTTCCTCTATTTTTTCCTCTATTTTCCTCTATTTTTCCTCTATTTTCCTCTATTTCTCCTCTATTTTTCTCTCTATTTTTTCCTCTCTCTTTTCCCCTATTCCCCCTTTATTCCTCCCTCTCTCCTTCCCCCTCACCCCAATTAATTAATTAATACATCTATATATATTTATTATTATTTTTTCAAACCCTCCCCTCCTTCCTCTCCCTCTCTCTCTCTCTCTCTCCTTTTTTTTTTCCCGGCGCCACCTGGGCCCGTGCGATTTCTTTTAATATTTATTTCAGTCTCCAGTTTGTAGTGGGAAGTGTAGGATTGTTATAGGGAAGGCTCTGCTCCAGGACAGACAGACTGACACAGTCAGCTGACCCGGCCCGGGCCAATGGCGAGCCGCGTGTCAAAAAGGGAAAAAATTGCTTTTTTCTGCTCGCCAGTCCCTACTTCAAACTAAGTGGGCATGGAAAGTAAGTCCGGCACCCCCCAAAAAAATAAAAAAAGCCCCCCCAGGGGATTTGGGGCGGCGGGGAGGGGGCTCACGGGCACCAAAAATTCCTAAAATTCAATTTTTTCAACCCACCTTCCTCCCTTTTATTTATTTTTTTCCCACCTTCCTCTTCTTTATTTTGCTCAGATTCGCCAAAAAAAAAAAAAAAAATTATCTTTACCGCTCTATTTTTTTGCTAAATGCTCAATGCTGTTTTTTTTTTTTTATTGTCTTTTATTATGATTTTTGTTAAATGATTATCATAATTATTATTCTTTCCAAGAAAGCTGCGCTTAAAAATCTCGTCAAGAAGCGGCTGCGAATTCCCAGCAATAAATCTCAGGCGAACACAGAATATTAAGCCATAAATTACCCTCACTCTCCCTCTTTTTTTTTTTTTTTTTTTTCTCAATATTTTTCTTTTCTTTTTCTTTAATTTATTTATTTTTAATTTTTTTTTTTAATTATTTTTTTCCTCCTCCTCTCCCCTCTTTCTCCCGCTCTGAGTATCCGCCTTTAAAAGGGCGAAAAGGGAAAAATAATTCCGTTTTAAAAGGAGGAAAAAATAAAAAAAAAAAAGGGGGAAAAGGGGGGGGGATAAACATGGCGACTTCTCCATGGATAACGCGGGATCGGGAGCGCTCCCAAACTCCTGGAAAAGGGCAAAAATTTGGGCAAAAAAAGCAATTTTTAGGGAAAAAAATACCAATCCCACGCCGGGCTGGGAGCTGGGATTTCCCCTCCGCTTTTGGGAGATTTCTCCGGATTTTGGGGCATTTCTGGACGCGCCCAGGAAGGAAAAGCGGCTGGAAAATGCGGAAAAAAAAGCGAATTTGGGCTGGGGAGGAGCGGCCGGGCCGGCGGCGCGGAGTTTCCCGAAGTTTTTTTGGGAATTCTCCCTGGCGGGGAGGGGACCCCGAGCCCATCCCCACCCAAATCCCCCCGAAACCGCCCCAAAATCAGCCCCTACCTGAGCCCCGCGGCACGGCGGGGCGGATTCGCAGCAAATCCCCCAAAAAAAATTCCGATTTTTGCCTCGGCCTCCTCCTCCTCCTCCTCCTCTTTTTTGTTGTTAAACCACCTCGGTTTTATGGAAAAAAAAAACAAAAAAAAACCCAAAAAAATCCCAAAATTCGCCGGGAAAGCGTCGGAAATCCACGCCGCTCTTGCTTTTTATTTTGAATTTTTTTGGATTTTTTTTTTGTTTTGTTTTTAAGGATTTTTGGCCGACAAAGCGAAGGCCCGGGGGGGTTTTTGGGGAATATTTGGCCCCCCCAGCTATGAGAGGAACCCGGATGCCAGCGGATTTTATGCTCTTTTTCCTCTGGCTAACAAAGCAAAGTCATCAATGGTAGCAATAAAACCATAAACGGGACCGCAACTGGGAAAAAACCACAAAAACACCAAAAAAAAAACCCGAAAAAACACCCAAAAAAACAACCAAACCCGGCCCGGAGCCGCCAGAAAGGGGAAAAAAAATCCCGGTTTTTGTCCCAAAAAGTGGCGGCTGGGGGGGAGCTCCCACCCCGGGGGCTTGGCGAGGAATTCCGGGCGTTTTCCCCCAAAAATTCCCAATTTTCCGCTGCTTTTTTTCTCCCCCTGGCTTTCGCAAATCCCCCCGCAGCGTGCGGGAAAAACGGGAATTTTGGGAGGATTTCGCTGCTTTGTTTCGCTTTTCCAACCCCGGGGGGGTTTGGGGGAGTCAGGGACCCCAAATTTGGGGATTTTGGGGGATTTTGGGACCCGGCAAGGGCCGGGCTGGGGGCGAGGGGCGGCAGGGCCGCAACTTCAGAGGAGTTCCCACCAAAAAACTTCTCCTTGCGGAGCCTCCTTTTCCCTTTTCTCCCCAAATTTTCATTTTCCCAGATTTTTCCTCCTCCTCTCTTCCTTCCCCTTCATTTTTTTCCCTTTATTTTGCTTTTTCCACCCTTTTTTCCCCCTTTTTTTTTGCTTTTTTCGCTCCTTATAATTTCAGTTTTTATTTGAATTTTATACTTTTAATTTTTATTTTTATTTTTTCCTCCTTTTTTTTGCCCTTTCCAAGGTGGGCTGGAGACCTGAGACGAGCGTGGGACCCGAGCCGGGGGAAGTTTAAGTGTTTTATGACTTCTCTAAACAGAGGGCAAGTCCTAAAAGTCCGCTCGATTTATAGACAGCAGAAAGCAGCTGCCGGAAAAAAAAAAACAACCCCAAAACACATCCACCCGCCAAACACCGATTTTTTAGGGCAAAAAACCGCCAAAAAACCACCAGCAATTAAAAAATAAATACCAAAAAAAAAACCCCATCCGCGAAACCCCGCAAAAATCTGAATTTTAATTGAATTTTTTGACGTTTCCCAGCAGATTTTTGGCGGATTTTTGAGCTTTTTACCCCCATTAAAAAAAGATATTTTGTTTTTTTTTCTTTTTTTTTTTTTTTTGGCCAAAAAAGCACGCGGCGAAGGGAGGGGGGGATTTGTGGGGAGATTTCTGGCGGAATTGGGTCTGCAAACAATTAAGGGAACTCATCAGCAGAAGCAAGAACAGATGTTTTATTAAAAGTGCGACAAACGCTGGAAATATGGACAACTCCTGCAGCAGTTGCTCTTTGTTCTGAGGAAAAAAACCCCAAAAACAGCCAAAACCCCCAAATTTCCCCCATTCCCGCCCTCATATTCCCTTTAAAAAAAAAAATATTATTTTTTCACCCGCCCCAGCGACGCTCGCGGGGTGAAAAAAGGGGGGAAAATAAAGATAAAAAGGGGAAAAAAATCCCTAAAAAATTAAAATTTCTCCCCCCGCGGCTCGCAGCGCTGCTGAGCTGATTTAGGGCGGGGGAAATTTGGATTCCAAACCCCAAATCCGCCCCAAAATTTGGGGCCGGGGCTGTGAAAATCCCAAATGCGCAGGAATTGGGAGCGAACCCCGGCCCTGTCCCCGCTCCCGCCCGCGGCCGCGCCGAGCGGCCCCAAAGCCGCCGATTTTGGGGCTTTTTGGGCTTTTTTGGGGTGAAACTTGGGGGTTTTGGGGGCAGCGCCCCCCCCGCGGCCGCGCTGCGCGGAGGCTCCGCGGGGCCACCAAAAGCTTTTATTTATCCCGAATTTTCTCTTTTTCCCCTGGTTTTCTCCCCATTTTTTTTCCCTCCTTTTCCCTTTTTTCCCCCCACTTTTGTTTTTCATTTTTTCCCCCCATTTTTCTCGCTTTTATTTTGACCTTTATGGCGCACGTGAGCCCCTAATTTATTTATTTTCCTTTTATTTCCCTGCCGAAATCTCCTTTTATTGGGCTGAAAATCTCCCTCTTTTGTCTCAAAATCTCCTTTTTTTTTTTTTTTTTTTTCAATTTTCCCAAAATCCATCAAATCTGGGGAGCGGCGCCCCCCCAAAAAAAGGGGGGAAAAGGGGAAAAAAACCCCCAAAGTCCAGGAGGAAAATTGGATTTTTTGACCCCCCGGCCGCGGGGTTTTGGGGTGAAAACCTCGGGGTTTGGGCAGCTCTTAATTAATTAATTCTCATTAATAAATTGCTGGAATTCCCCTTTCCCCCCGGACTTTTGGAGTTTGAGGGATTTTTGGGGTTTTTTTTTTTGGATTTTGGCGCCGCTTTGGGAGTGGCTGGCCTGGCTTTGCTCACAGAAAAAAAAAAATCCGATTTTTGCCCCAAAATCCCACCCAGAAAAGAATTTATTTTACCCAAAAAAATCACATTTCCCCCCAATTCTCCATGCGAAAATCACAATTCAAGCCCCTCTGGCTGATTTAATTTAATTTATTTGGAATTTAAAGCTCCTAAGTGGACAAAAATGCGATTTTAGCGCCCGAACGAGGATTTTTG